TTCTTTCATATTTTATCAGAAAAGGGATAGGATGTAAAGCATGGCTTAGAAGCAGAGTGCTTTGTTTATTCCTCATTATCAGAGGACTGTAGATCTTGAATCCATTGCTAAGGTTATTTTTGCAAGTAAATAATCTACTGTATTCTGTGCTTGGTGGTAGAATGCACAGTGCCTAATAATTTTTTTTTAAGATTTTATTTATTTATTTGACAGAGACACAGCAAGAGAGGGAACACAAGCAGGGGGAGTGGGAGAGGGAGAAGCAGGCTTCCCGCCGAGCAGGGATCCCCATGCAGAGCTTGGGGTCATGACCTGAACTGAAGGCAGGTGCTTAACGACTGAGCCACCCAGGCGCCCTGTGCCTAATAAGAATTTGTCTGGTCTCTGTCCCAGTCCTGGCACAGAACTTCTAGCTCCCTGGTAATTTCTTAAGTAATAGGAGTGTTATCCTAATGAAGGAAAGATGAGCCCCTATATAGCTTCGGGATAGGGGCTGGTTACCAGAGGGCTTGAGCCAACCGGGCCTCTCGGAAAGGGAGGAGGTTAGAGATTTGAGTTCAGTGATATGGCTAATCATCAAATCAGTCCTGTGTACGCAGTGAAGCCCATTAAAAACTCTGGATACCAAGGGCGCCTGGGTGGTGCAGTCAGTTAAGCCTCCCACTTTCAGTTTTGGCTCAGGTCATGATCTCAGGTCGGGAGATGGAGCCCTGAGTTGGGCTCTGCACTGACTGCTTGGGACTCTTTCTCTCCCTCTCCCCTCCCCCTCCAAAATAAATAAATAAATCTATAAATCTAAAACAGAAAACAAAAAAAAACCCTCCAGATACTGAAGGTTAGTGGAGCTTCTTGGTTGATAAACACATTGTGTGTGTGTGGTGGTGGCAAGTAACATACCCTGATTCCACAGGACAGAGCATGAAAGCACTGCATTCCCTCCCAGACCTCACCCGTTGTGTGTATTCATTTGTCTGGTCCTTCAGATTTGTAGCTCTTGTTTTGTTTTTGTTTTTAAGATTTTATTTATTTGACAGAGAGAGACACAGCGAGAGAGGGAATACAAGCAGGGGGAGCGGGAGAGGGAGAAGCAGGCTTCCCGCCGAGCAGGGAGCCTGATGTGGGGCTCCATCCCTATGACCTGAGCTGAAGGCAGACGCTTAAGGACCGAGCCACCCAAGCGCCCTGATTTGTAGCTCTTGTAATAAAACTGCAATCACAAGTAATAGTGCTTTCCTGAGTTCCATGAGTTTTCTAGTGCATTATCAAACCTGAGAATTATGGAAACTCCCAAATGTATAGCCAGTATGTCAGAAGGGCTGGTGGGCTGGGGACCTCTTAAGTCAGGGCAGTCCTATTGGGGTCCATGCCTTTTAACAAGTGACGTCTGTGCCAACTCCAGGTGATTAGTGACAACTAAATGGAGGTACTGGGTTGAAACAATAACTGCTGTATACTCTTGGTTTCCAGTGAATAAACTTCAGTAATTAAAGTGTATTTTAGTGTTAGCTAAATATAGTATGACTCTTTAATTTTGATGTGATCAAGAATGAAATATACTGTGAATTTCTTAGAAATTCAAAGTTTACTAGATTGATATTGATGTACTTTTATTAATATCTTGAGGGCGCCTGAGTGGATCAGTTGCTTAAGCGACTGCCTTTGGCTCAGGTCATGATCCTGGAGTCCCGGGATCGAGTCCCGCGTCAGGCTCCCTGCTCGGCAGGGAGTCTGCTTCTCCCTCTGACCCTCTTCCCTCTCGTGCTCTCTATCTCTCATTCTCTCTCTCTCAAATAAATAAATAAAATCTTTAAAAAAAAATCTTGAAACAAACTTTTAAGATTACCAGGGTTCACGGTTTTTTTTATTGATGATTATTCCTCAGTAGGGTCTATGAATTTTCAGAGATCCCAGCTTCTTTTGCTTGATTCCCTTTATGACCAGCAAGATTGCTGACTGGATATAGAAGTTGTGTTTTTAGAAAGTCTAACAGGCCCATCATGGGTTAAAACCTATAGCCTTAATTAGTAGCTAGTAGTGGATATATATGGCTTCTTCTATGAAGAATAGAGAGCATCCATAAAAAATGGGCAAATTCTGTCCCATATTTAAAAAACTGCATTTATTATGTATAGGAGCACAGTAAAAAGCAATCTAGAAAGTTACCAAGGAATATAATGCACGATATAGTCAGGGACTACAAACATAGTAGCAGACTTTGTATTTTAACGTATTTCAAATGCTTTATGGGAGTTAAATTTTGGGGGCTCAGTCTTTCTAGAAGTACCCCTTTGCACTCTGGTATATTAGGTAAAAATATCTGTCACATTTCTTTTTTTAGTTATACATTATATTTTTAAATATATGTGCTATAAAGTGGGCTTTGAAATCCAAATTTGATCTAATGGTCATTCACATTATAGCTTTGCATGAAGCAGATGCACTTACTTCACTGGAAGTTTTCTGAAATATTTAGACCATGGGTAATCTGGAGGCAAGGATAAAATAATTGAATATCTAAATTTACTGAAAAGATTTTTGCTTATGTATAATTCTCTGTGTAAGTTGACTTGGAATAGCTTTCATATTTTATCCTTTTTTTTTCTTTTTCTCTGGTAAAACCAGAAACAGGAGCTATATTAAGTAATTAAACTATTGGTAAATATTCCTAGTGAAACCCTAAATGCACCCAAGAGTTTCTACCTTAATCAGGGCAAAATAGCCTTTAGATGAAAGTTAGGCAGAATTGTTAGACCAGTTAATGGATTAGTTTCCTCTACTTTGTATCTCATTTTTGTGAGAGTGATATTCATTGTCAGTTGTAAAGTCCATACTTGCTTTTTTCCAAATGGGGAGATTTTTGTGTCATGGCCTAATACTTCTCTAATCTGCTACTTCTGTATTCTAATGAGTAGTTATTCCTGTAAACTAGAAAGGCAAAAAATGAGTGAGGTCTGCTTCTCGAATTCTTCCTTGCTAGTCCCAATCATAACAATCATTTGCCTCCCAGAAGTGTGCAGTATCCTGGAGGGGAGTATACTGACTTGTGTGCCCACTGGGGCACCCTCAGCCAGTGACCTTGCACACTGCATGGGTGTACGTGTGGGGGCTATTCAAAGGTCTGCTTTGGGCCATCTATCCCTGATGATAAATGTCAGTATACCACCTGGCTGTCTGGAAAGATCCAGATAACCTCCTTGGTGATTTCAGGATTTATAATGGATCAGTTAGTTCCTTTTTTCCTTCGGTCCAGGAGTTCCATAGGCTACCTTCCCCAGCTCTTTGGTTTTTCTCTTGTTGTTTTGTGAAGGGAGAGTGTCCAAAGTTTCTGCAAACCTTGACTGGGATACAGAACTTTCACAGTATCTGTGGGCCAATAGCCCCCTCAGAGTAGAAGTTTTGCCTTTGTCCTGAGATCATTCAGACCTTCGAGGTATAGACAGGAAGATTCCCTGGCAATTAGGACCCTACATTATCATTATTTAACTCTTTAAAGAGAAGACTGAATGTCTAAAAGTTGTAGACGTCTGGGTAACCTATTCAGAAGTTTTTTATACTCTTCAAAGCTACAGTTAGAGAGGTTTAGTGTGAATTTCCTAACAGCCTGTGTCCTTAACGGTCGTAAAACTTCCTCCAAGAGTTGACACTTCCTAGTTAATAGCACATAAAGGGATAGTTGATTAAATGGAATCTTAGTACAGAGCATACTTCAGCTCCTGTTTGCATAGAATGATTTCTTAAAAGGTAGGTTACTTACAAGATTGGATATAATATGATTTTGTCCTTATCTTATATATTGGAATGCTTTTTAAAACAGACTTGATTTTTAGAGGAGTTTTAGATTTTAGAAAAATTGAGAAGATAAGAGTTCCCATATACCTCATATCCCCCCCATGCACACAGTTTTTCCTGTCATTAACATCTTACAGTAGTATATTTGTTACAGTTAACAAATCAATTGATACATAATTGTTAACTAAAGTCTATATATATCCTATTCAGATTTCCTTAGTGTTTACTTAAAGTCCTTTTTTCTCTTGGTGGATCTCATCCAATATGCCACATTATATTCAGTTATCATGTCTCCTTAGGCTCCTCTTGGCTGTGAGTGCTTCTCAGACTTCCCTTATTTTTGATGTCCTTGGTAGTTGGGCAGATATTCATCAGGTATATTATAGATTGCTTCTCTTGGGATTTGTCTGATATTTTTGTCCAGTTTAGAGCAGAGCTATGGGATCCTATGGTAAGACTGTGCTTAGCAAGAAATTGCCAAACTGGGGGCACCTGGGTGGCTCAGTTGTTAAGCATCTGCCTTCAGCTCAGGTCGTGATGTTCCTGGGATTGAGCCCCGCATCAGGCTCCCTGCTCTGCGGGGGGCCTGCTTCTCCCTCTTCCACTCCCCTCCTTGTGTTCCCTCTCTTGCTGTGTGTCTCTCTCTCTGTCAAATAAATAAATAAAATCTTAAAAAAAAAAATTTGCCAAGCTGTCTTCCAAAGTGGCTGTACCAATTTGGATTCCCACCAACAGTGAATGAGAGTTACTGTTACTTCCTGTACTTGTCAGCATTTGGTATAGTCCGTTTTTTGGACTTCAGCCATTCTGATAGGTGTGCAGAAGTTGGGGTGTAATTTTTAAAGTTGGTCATTTTGTCTTATATTTTGTCTGACTATGGAAACATTAGCTTTCTCCTGATACTTCTCTTCAAATCAGCATTGAGAAGAATATATGTGCTTTTTTCCCATATGAATAACTGTTACAAATGTTTAAATAGTATTTCACTTCTTGCATTAAAATACAATTACCTATTCTCTGTGCTTTCTTATTACTAATAGCTTATAAGCTGTATACTATAGGTGTTAAGCTACATTCCACTGATGTTAATGTCTCATGTTTATTGCTTTTGTTTAATTTGTTATTCTCATTTTCCATTCTTCAAAGTCATTTTGCTTTTGTGTTTGTGTTTCTTTGTTTATAAAGTTTTTTGTTTCTGTTACATTATGTAGTTTTGTACCAATGGCTAGAAGCAGATCGTCATGGCAAGAGCCAAGATACTGCAAATACGACTTCAGGTAAAAATAAAAATTAAGGTGTTAGAAATCATTATTTTAATTCACCCCAAGCCCATCATAACTGTTTTTTTTTTTTCAGTTTTGCTTGGGCAAAAATAGGTATTATATTGTATTTCTGTTCTTTCATCTGCATCTTAATTTTTGTAAAGAACTCATTTGCTTCAAGCCTTGAAAAAATTATTCACTGGTCTTAAGCTCTCTTGGCAGATACATGCTATTTTCTTAGAAGGAAGGGCTGAATTGCAGCTTAAATTTAGTAGCAGTTTACTTGGCAGTATTACTTGGAATTAAGTTTATATGCATTTGTAGTGGGGAATATTAATATTTGCACAAATTTATAATCCTTGTTCATTTCAGTATAGTGTTTAAAAGGTGGATTTTAAGTAAAGAATGCTTATGTATCATTTCAATTGCCTGGGAATCCAAATTCTTAGACTGATTCATTTCTCCTGCTAAGTCCTCACAGTAAATTCTAAGTTAGAAGTTCATTTATAACATGGGTTCAAAATGAGAAGACTAGGTTGTTCCCCCCACTGCCCATCTCCAAAAGTCATCTTCAGGATTCTCTTCTTTGGCTGGTAATAGTAGTGATAACTGCATCCACTCATGTCTAAAGCCTTAACAGTTATCGGAATTTCTACATGGTTGGTTGTTCCCTTAATTTACTTCAAAATGGTATTTGCCAAGACAGCTATATATATATACAGCAATGACCTTTCCTATTGCCCCCCCTTTTTGGCAGTGTAGTAGCTTGTGGTGGTGGTGGTGGTTCTGTTTTTCTTTTCTTAGATATGTGTTTCTGTTTCATTGAGTGTTTTCATTTTTTTGTTTTTGTGAAATTTTTTCTCTCTGAAAAAGGTGGTTTTCCTTCTCTATCTTCTGGGTGATTCCATTGTGCTTCAGGAGGGTGTGGTGTTGTTCCTTAGTTAACAGAACAATTATATTGAAAATGACACTGTCATGGCTTTTCTGATTTATCCTCTGTCCCATTAATAACTTGATATATGAATGAAGATAATGTTACTATTTTAACCAGACTCAGGCAGGAATTAATTAAAAGGTAAGTGTTGCAAGGAGTTATATCTTACATTATGTGCTGTTTCTTCTGCCCCCACAGTGTTTCACATTTTATTTACACTTATGATAAAAATAAACATTTCTGGTATATGTTGGTGGGTGAAGGAGAGGCATTCTTGGTTGCTGTATATTATCTGAGGATATCCTGTTCCTGTGTCAGTAGCAGAGTCAGCAGCATAGACCTTTAGAACCAAGAGGGAATTCTTGTTTTGTGTTTTCTGTGACTTAAAGTGAAGTGAAAAGTAGTCTTTTTTATTTTTTAAGATTTTATTCATTTGAGAGAGAGTGAGAGCAAGAGAGATCACAGAGGGCGAGGGAGAGGGAAAAGCAGACTTGTCCACCGCTGAGCAGAGAGCCGAATGCAGGGCTCTATCCCAGGACCCTGAGATCATGACCCGAGCTAAAGGCAGATGCTTAACCAACTGAGCCACCCAAGTTCCCCTAGTCATCGTCTTTTTTTTTTAATGAAGAAGTGAATAATCTAAAAATTCTTAGTGTTTGCATGAGAATCTAGTGTCAGCTTAAAGAATGTCATTTGCCCTTCCTGAAGTCAGGTATTCTGAATCCTGACTCTTCTTCAGGCACACTGACTCATGGACAGTTCCACATTTTTCCATTGACTTTGTAAACATACTCTATAGGCATGTTGCAGAAATTCATAAACCATCCTCAGGGATGCTTTTGACACTTTTTCTTCTAGAAGTGAAAGCTCTCTATTCTGTCTCTTAGAAGATGAATATATGGAGTAGAAAACTAGAGATGAAACATTTGCCTAGATAAGTAAGAGGAATCCAGAGGAAAACAATCATTAACCAGAGCTTGTTAGAAACAATACAGTTTCTGCAGCAAATCTATTTAATAAACTATGTGCCTTTATTCAGAAAAGCTTCTGTGTATTTTATATTGCGGTTTCCAACAAGATTTTAGAGTGTAACTTTTCCCTCCTTTTGTGATCTGTTAAGTTTTGCACTAAAAGGTGTTTTAGTATCCATCTTTTCATATTTTTACCAAAATGATGCCCAATTATGATTTATAAATTACTTGGTATTTTTACTTGTACAAATACTGGTAAGTAGCATTTGTCTTTTGATATAATAGTTTGTGTTTTACACAAACTATTCTTCAGTCTCAACTTTTTGACATTGAGAATTTAAGAGCCATCCACATTAACATATTTTATGGAACTGAGGCATTTGGGGGAAACAGGTCTCATGGGAATTAATTTGGTCAAGAAGATAAAGAACTGAGCTGACAGCTATAACTGAAGTTTATTTATATATAATAATCGAAGTATAGCCTGCCTTTATTTTTCCTGAATTTTGACAGGTGATGAGTTTGGCTTGGAATAGCTTGTTTCTTTTCATAGGTTTAGTGTGTCTACTAGACACTCAGTAATGATGTTTCTAATTCTGTTAATTCTGTTACTTGTAAAAGCCTGGATGCAGTCACACTTGTCAAATTTCTGTGGCAGCTCCAGCAAAATTGCCTCCTTTGAGTGCAGCAGGGTTGTGTCTGTCCATGTACAAAATCTTAGGATCAGAAGTATGATTCAGGATGCTAAATTTGGGATGTTTTGTTAATAAATTAGATGTTTCCAGGTAGATTTTTTTATCACCACATATTGAAATGAGGACAATAATTAGGTTACAGCAAAGATTATTTGAGTAGATCTTGATTTTTAGTATAGTTGTCTGCCCAAGATGTTGAAATTCAGATTCTGAAGTTTTAAATGCATATTTTTTATTAACAGTTTCTTTTCAGTAACCTTTCATTAACAGTTCCATTGAGAATTTTACAACTCAGACTGTTAGAGGTAGAAATTGAATCAGATTTCAACATTTATCTGTCAGTATATCTAAAAAATAAAACTACATGCTTTTGAAACAATTCTAAATATCAACTAATTATTAATTATTTGTTATAGGTGAAAACTTTGACCAGAGTCCTTTGAGAAGAACATTCAAATCCAAAGTGTTGGCCCACTATCCTGAGAATATAGAATGGAACCCTTTTGATCAAGATGCAGTGAACATGGTATGTAGTTTTTTTTACTCTTTAGCCTTCTTTTTATTTCGTTAAGATGACAGTGTCTACGTTATTTCATTTGATGTTTTAAATAATTCTTTAAGGTAGATAATATTGTCCTCATAGACGTGGAAATGAAGCTCAGAGAAGTTAAGTTACTTTTCCTACAGTCCCCAGGGCAGATAAATGTATATAACAGACCCTCAAAGCCAATTTTCTTTGTTTTTTATGTTTTTATTTAAATTCCAGTTAGTTAACATACAGTGTAATAGTAGTTTCAAGTGTACAGTATAGTGATTCAGTACTTACAGACATCACCCGGTGCTCATCACAAGTGCACTGCCCTCCTTAATCCCCATCACCTATTTCACCCACCTCCCCTCTGGTAACCATCAGTTGGCTCTCTGTAGTTAAGAGTCTGTTTCTTGGTTTGTCTCTCTCTTTTTTTCCCCTATGCTCGTTTATTTCTTAAATTCCACATATGAGTGAAATCATATGGTATTTGTCTTTCTCTGACTGACTGATTTCACTTAGCATAATACTATCTAGCTCCATCCATGTTGTTGCAGATGGCAAGATCTCATTCTTTTTTATGGCTGAGTAATAGTCCATTGTGTGTATATACCGCCTCTTCTTTATCCATTTGTCACTTGATGAACACATGGGCTGTTTCCATTATCTGGCTATTGTAGATAGTGCGGCTTTGAACATCCGGGTGCATGTGTTCCTCAAAGCCCATTTTCTTTTCCTACTGTTAAGCTGTGTTTGGGTTTGTATTAATTAATACATAGAAGCTTTGATAAAGAGTAGTATTTCTTTGCTTGGAGAGGATCCTGATAGAAGGAACACGATTACAGTTTTCATATTTCAAGGAATGTTGTATGATGGGCCTGTAATTTATTATACTCACAAAGTAAAGAGGAAAAGGAACTTGAATTCATCATTTAGACATTAGTAGGAATTTGTGTATAAGGAATTTGAATTAATGCAGTGAGTTACCAATGGTGGTTATAAGTCCCTTAAGAGATTCTTAGAAATAGTCATAGTTTTCAGATTATTTAAGGAGGGTCCCAGTAAGAAGCCTGGGTAATACTTTGGGATTCCATGAATGGAATTCTGTGATTATAAGAATCAGGGTACACCTAAGTGAGCAAATCAGGTATCAGGCATAATAGGCACAGAAATAATTAGCAGTGGACTGAGACACTGATAGATGTAGTTCTTTTTTTAGAATTTTAAAGGTAGTAGAGCTTAAAAGATCCCATTATGAAATGATACTGTAATAAGGTAAGGAAATTAATATACAATAGATACCTGCCAGATATCTCATGTATGTTACTTTCACATATGCTGACATGTGCCTAGTGAGAGTTCTTATATTTTACAGAGATTACTAACCCAAAGTTATGCAGGGAGTCTCAGAGGTTAAATCCAGATCATTTTTACTCTCTAGCTCACTTTTTCCCCAACTACATGCTGCCTCCCTCCCCCAAAGAAAAATGATATAACTTAGTTTTGACCTGCACCAAAATGACGTGGGTCACATTGGATCTTTTGTGGTATTTCTGTATCACAGTAAATTCATTCCAGTCTGAGTTTTCTACAAAGAGGGAGTAGTGGTACTTTTTCTAAGTACAGATACCCAAGGCACTTGGCTCTCTGACTTTGATTCCTCACAGAACACAGTGTAGTTATTTCTCTAATTGGAGATGCCATTTTGCTGGACGTTAATACTGTGGGGCCTCGTCTTTGGTGAAGACAGCACCATAGATATTAAGTAGAACACAACTGTTTGTTATATTTATGACACTTGGAGGAACACAGGCAAGCTTCTGACTAAAATTGTCAACAAACAGCAATGACAAAAAATAATTTATCAGCTGCTGTGCCAGCAAATTAATAGAAAAGTATTAAAGAAAAGAGTGTCTAAATGAAGCAATGGAAACCTAGATAAGAATGTAAATAGATTACAACACTTGACTTCTTAAATTAGTAAGGTATTTCAAAGTATAAATTCAGCTGTGAGAAACTAGAATGGTTTTTACTACAGTATGAATCCATAGTCATTTGGAACAAAATGCCACACTTGGTGTGTTTTCTTTCTGTTAATCATTTGAATGCATTAATAGTGAGACATCCATGATAGCTTTAGCCTTGGTCTGTAAAGCATTCATCTTTAAAGCAGGGATCAGCTTCCTTAATCTTTGTTACTTTCTTTCCTCTTGCCTCTGGGATTATGTTATGTAAGCAACCAAAGTCTCCTATGAAGAATAAACACATAGGCTTGTGTTTGATGGTTAAGCACCACATAGCATTTTGGTTATTGCTGCAAATCTAAAAGGAATTGCTGGCTTTCCTTGAAAATCTCTGAAAAGCATCCCATTAAACTAGTCTGCATTTGGGTATAGATTTACTGCCCTTATTTCCCTCTGATTTATTAGTAAGTACATGTGTATGAAGCTATAATTTATTCCCACCTAGAGGTATAAAGCTTTCTTCTTGCCTTTAGCAAAATCCCACTCCCAGCGAGTCATCACCTTCTATAATATCAGTCATTTTTTAACAAGCAACAGTGGTGCTTTGAAGAAGGGTCATTAATCTCATACAGAAATTAAATACTCCAAAGCAATGAACTTTGTTAAATAAAAAAAAAAAAATTCCATGAGTGCCATGCAAATGTAATAGAAAATAAATAATGACAGGTGAAATTGTTTCTGAATTAATTGCTTTTTATGTCTCTTTTGGTTACTGATTGAGAGATCTTCATGGAAAAAAAGGGGTAGGGGAAAGTATCATAAAACAAAACAATACAACAGTCATATACCCAGAACTGACACATTTCAACATTGACAAATTTGCTTCAGGTCGGTGCTTTTTCTCTTAAATGAAGCAAAGCATTGCAAATGGAGCCAAAGGTCCCCTGCCTCCTCCTCCCCCATTTCAGATCTCTTTGAGGTAATCTGCATTTTGGCATCCATGACTATTTATATAAGGTTCTGGTCAGCAGATCTTATCTTTAAGAATGTAGTGAACCTAGGGATTGTTAGGAAGAAAATATGATCAATACCTTTTTAAGCAGCTTATATGAAATATAAAGATTCTGTATTGTATATCTATTCTAAATGAAACATCTGATATATGATTAAATTTTAAGTAACTAAAAGTCATATAACTGTGGGACGCCTGGGTGGATCAGTCATTAAGCGTCTGCCTTCGGCTCAGGTCATGATCCCAGGGTCCTGGGATCGAGTCCCACCCCGCTTCTCCCTCTGCCTGCCTCTGTCTCTCTCTCTCTGATAAATAAATAAAATCTTAAAAAAAAAGTCATAACTGTTATAAAGCTTTTTATAATCTATAAAGCTCTAAGTTTACAATTTACTATTTACTTTGGTCACAAAAAAGGGTAGGGTGGAATGATGAGCAAAGAGCAAAGGTAAAGGGTTGACTGAAGAAAACCTATTCAGATGCCCATCTTGTACGATTTGAAGGAAAAAGAGCTATATATACTTTTTACGGACTCAGCAAGTTCTTGAATTTGAGATGGATAACCCTTAGTTAGATTAATAGGTTTGACATTAGAATGAAAGTAAGCCCTCATTTTCATCCAAGTTTAAGTTCTCATCTCACAGTAAAACCATAGGAATGGGGCTCTAATCCAGCCACTACCAGGGAAGCCCACTGGTTTTCTTAACTTTGGAGCTAGAATATTTCATGGGCATCTCAAACTTAACATGCCCAAAACTGAATTCACAGTCTTCCCACTAGCCTTGGTCAGTGAATGGTACAGCCATCCACGTAGTTGCCTAAGCCGAAAATCTGGCATTATCCTTGAAAGTTCTCACTTTCTTACCCTCTCCATGTGCAGTCAGTTATCTATCTACTTCTCTCTGTTTCTATACACCCAAACCTTAGTCCAAACCCCCAAACTCTCTTACCTGGACTTCTGCTCCTTTCCATTCTTCACACTAAAGCTTCTGCTTCTGCGGCCACTTCTCTTGGGAGGATTCTTCCACTTCTCCTTCCCCTGGTGAATTCTTACCCTTCAGGTTTCATTTTAAACACAATTTTTTCAGAGAAGCCATCTCTGACCACCCTTCCAACATTCAGTCAGGTCCCATCAGGTTCTCTTAGGACCTTTTAGCACCTTGTACCTTTTTGTAGCACCTATCACAGTTGGAATTAAATGATTATGTAGCTAGTTATCAGCTCTGTGTCTCCTGCTGTAATGTAAGCACCGTGAAGACAGGTACAACTCTCGCTTATTCATTGCTGTATCCCTAGTTTTACACACAGTAGAGGCTGAAGTCATTGAATAAATAAAGGAATGTTTGCTTACTTACAATACTTCCCTTTCCTGTCTTTGTCTAGTCAGGTATTACCTCCCCTGCAAAGTCATCTTAAGCAGAAGTAGTTAGGTGCTCTCTCTTCTCTATTTCTATAATGTCTTGAACATACTCCGCAGCAGCACTGATCGCATTATTTTATAGCCATTAGTTTGTCTTTTTTACCAGACTGTGAACTCCCTGAAGAGATTATTTTTGTATTTGTCTTTCGAATTACCAAGATCTAATGTAATATATGACATAAAGTAAATATTTATTAAAGGAAAAAGGAGGGAGAGAGGGAATGAAGGTAGGAGAAAGGAGGGGCAAATAGACCAACTCTGAATAATTTATCTTTTATTTGTATAATAAGAGAAGGCATGGAAGTCACTGAACTATAGAAGATGGAAAAAGGAATTGTTAAAATTCTAGCCAAACCACCTGAAATAGTCCAGAGGGATAATAAGGACATGTAGTTGCTCAAGGAGGGGGGTACACAGCACTGTGAGCTTACTTTGGCTAAAGTAATCTGATTACCAGTAGCAATCTGGTAAACAGTGACAGCCCTAAATGTTTAGTTGTTTTAGTGTGGGAGAGTGGGTTGGAGAGGGGCTGTTGTCAGTAAAAGTCAGTATTAGGGATAACGAGATTGTTGAATGCCCTAATGAACAAATCTTGTTTTATGTCTCAGATTTTCTGAAAAATAAACCTGACAATTCATCATACAAGAACTCTCACTTTTAAAAATGAAAAGGCAGTAGCATTTTCCAAGTCATGGTTCCCAGATTAGAAATGTAATTCTTACTTTTTTTGATTCGTAAGAAGAGAATTTAAGAATTCTTAACATCTGTTATCTGTAGCATAGAAAGTCATTCTTTACTTTGAGCACAACTTTTGGCAAGCTTTTCCTGTAAATGTTTGAATGCATGCTCAAGAAAGCTACAAAACCTTAAGGGAATATTTGGCAGCTGTGCAAAAACAGTTGGAGCTGTAATCTTGTGGTTTATGATGTCAGGAAAGCCTATCAATTAAATCTTTATTTTGACTTTGGAGGTCACTACGTTTCTGTATTACCTACTACATATAAAAAGAGAACTATAGACTTAATCAGGAGAGGAGCTAATCTGGTCCTGTACCCCTAGCTGTTGTTTTGTTTGTTTTCTTGTTCATTTGTTTGTTTATTCATTCAACAAATACATATATGGTATGCACTATCCCAAATAAATTTGAGCATAACCTGGAGTAAGAGGGATTCAAATCTTCCTTCCTACAATCTTTATTAACTGTAGTAGATGTGTCAGATGAGTTTTTATTCATAAATCAGCAGAGGATCTCCTCTTGTTGTTAAAGAAAGCAGTTTTAATGTGAAGACATAACTATGAAAAGGTCCTGCCATGGCCTTTCCTTACACAACTATTCCCAAGATGAGTAATAAACAAATTTTCCTCTAACAAAGTCAGGTATTTATGTGTGTTTACCTAACTCTGTGTCTTCTTCTACCCAAATATACGTAGTAATTTAATTCTTTTCAACATATATAAAAATAATTATGTAAAGCTACCTTCGTAATTTCTAGGTCTCATATTCAGTGATATGAAATATAAAGACATTTTCACTGACCTAATAATACTAAACTGCATGGTTTTTGCTTTTTGCTTTTTATATTTATTATCAGTCACCTTTTATGGCCTCAAATAGTATATTGTTCTGTGTGTGGTACTCTTACACGTTTATAGTCATAGAAATATAGCACCAGTCCTTGAGTCACTTACAGTCTAGAGATCCAAACAAAATAGAGAAACTAGAAGTGTGTGTCAGTATACAATGTACATTTGTATACAGCAGTCCAAGACTTTAATTTCTTTCCCATATACTAAAGACTTTCTAGAGAAAAAGTGACATTTTAATGGCGTTTATAGGATGAAAACAGTATTTTTTATGGAATGATAAAGGAAGGTTCTTTAAGATAGTATTTATGTGGAAACTTAAAGAAAATGAGGGAGTGTTTCCATTATTCATTGCTGTATAACAAACCACCCCAGTACTATTTAAGTGGCTTAAAACATGGGTTATGGGTTAGCAATTTTTTTTTCATAAAAGGCCAGATAGTAAATAGTTGAGGCATTGTAGGCCATACAGTTTCTGTCAGTTACTCATCTCTGCTGTTGTAGTGCAAAAGTAGACACAGACAATGCTTAAATGGATGAGCACTATTGTGTTCCAATAAAATTTTATTTACCGAAACAGGTGGCTGATTGGATTTGACCTAAGGACTAAAGTTTGTTGACTCTTGATTTAAAACAACAAAACTGTTACCTTGCTTACAAATCTGCAATTTGGGTAGGGTTTAGCAAGCACCCTCTGCTCTACTGGGTGTCAGTTAGAACCTTCTTCTGAAGGTTCACTCACAGATACATCTCCAGGGCTAGGAACATCGCCAGGGAATCCTCTATCTCTGTATGATCTCTCCATATGGTCTCTAGCATGGTAGCTTCAGGTTAGTCACATTTCTTATATGTTGGCTCAGAGCTCCTAGTGTATGTGACCGGAGAGAGAGATGGAAGTTGTACTGCATTTTTAGCCCGAAAATGTTACTTGTTACCTTCATTACATTTTACTTGACTAGGCCAGGAGTGGGCAAATCAGCCCTTAGGCCAAATCCAACTGGCTACCTATTTATAAATAAAGTTCTATTGGAACAAAGTCATGCCCGTTCCTTTATGTGTTGTCAGTGGCTGCTTTTACACTACAATGGTAGTGCTGAGTAGCTGTGACTAAGATTTTAAGGCCTGCAGAGCCTAAAATATTTATTATCTGGCTTTTTTACAGAACTAAGTTTTCAGGTCCTTGCTGTAGGCACTCTCAGTGAGCCATCCATGGTCTTGATGAGAGCGTGGCTATTGTGGACATTGCTGCTATAAACATTGGGGTGCAGGCGCCCCTTCGGATTACTACATTTGTATCTTTGGGGTAAATACCCAGTAGTGCAATTGCTGGGTCGTAGGGTAGCTCTATTTTCAACTTTCTGAGGAGTCTCCATACTGTTTTCCAGAGTGGCTACACCAGCTTTCATCCCCACCAACAGTGTAGGATAACCTCCCCCCATCTTCCATTCTGTTCCCCACCCACAGAAAACATGTGTCACTTCCTCAGACCCTCATGTTCTGTCTTGTGGGCTTTTGCACATGTATCCTCTCTGCCTTCTCTTCATCTCACTAACAGCTATACTCATCTTCAGGTTTCCACTTAGACTTTATTTTTTTCCGGTAGCTCCTTCTTTTCTAATTTATGTCCTCCTGCTGTGTTTTTTCCATGGCAGTCTGTATTTACCCTTTCATAGCACTTCCCATACTTTATTTATAGTTTATGATTTTTTTAGTCATCTGCCGTCCTTACTGGACTGGAAGCTCCATAGGAGCAGGAACATGTCTGTCTGTCTTTCTCACCTGTGTCACCATCATAAGGCCTGGCTCATAAAGATACTTAATAAAATGTTGACAGTTTGAATGAAGGCCATGTAACTTTCAAGGTGAATTGCATTTTCTTAGTAACGTGGGGAGAACTTCTAAATTTCACATCAGATTGATTGTTAAGTCTGAAAAAGAAAAATGTAATAACTGTGGTAAAATTATTTCTATGCAGAAAGCATATTGCAGTACAAAAATAGTAATACATAAAAATTAATAATGATCATTATGTTAGGATAGTTAAATTACAAGTTTTTTTCCTTAGTATATTTCAAATTTTCTGTAATTTGTTTTCTTAAAATGTTTTAAAGAATGAATTCAAATTGCATCTTGAGAATCTTAAAGATAGTATCTTCAACTCCTCAGGTAATTTTGTTCCCAAGTCTGACTCAATCCTGGGTAGTTACCAAGACCTAAAGCATAATATCTACTGGAGTGAATCTAAAATGTCTTTGTTTCTACTCTTCTGCTTCAGTAAATCAAAAAATCATTCCATTTTAAAGTTTCTGTTTCTAAGATCAAGTATCATATTGTTCAAAATAGTGAAAATGATACTATTGTTTTTATTTTTTTTTCAATTTATCAAATGGGCCTTCACCTACTTCCCTATTCCTCTGAAACATTACCATCATTGCTCCAAAAATGGTACTTAAATATTAAGTATTTGTAAAGTGTCTTTGACTGTTTTGCCTTCAAGTCATTGATTAGCAAATGTAGATAAAATGAGGCTCAGAGAAGTCACATGCGGCGCTGAAGGTCAGAGGTTTGGATAAGAGGTTTGCTGGGAACAAGTCAAAGATCTTTCCATTCTTAGTCTTAGTCAACCCTTCTGCATGTGATACACAGTAAAGATGGTTCTCCTTGTCTATATATATTTTAAAAATAATTTTATCTGTGTGTCAGTGAGGAACTTACAGTGTATTTCTAACTTAAGGCTGCTGCTAATAATATTAAATATGCTTAAAACCTGTGTCCTTTGGAGTCCTGTTGTGTTAACAACAACAGACATTCTCTCTGGTTTGAAGTTACTTGTGTACTGCATTCTGATACTTTTTCCCCCTTGCTCCACAGCTGTGCATGCCTAAAGGACTATCTTTCAGAACTCAAACTGACAATAAAGACCCTCAGTTCCACTCATTTATAATTACCCGGGAAGATGGTTCTCGTACCTATGGTTTTGTTCTCACTTTTTATGAAGAAGTTACAAGTAAGCAGATCTGCACAGCCATGCAGACGCTCTACCAGATGCACAACGCCGAGCACTACAGCGGCGTGTATGCTTCGTCTTCCTGCAGCATGGATTCGCTGGCAAGCAGTGTTGATGAGGGAGATACAACTTCCCTTTTGAAACTCCAGCGATACAACTCCTATGACATCAGCAGAGACACGCTGTATGTTTCAAAAAGTATATGTTTGATCACACCGCTGCCTTTCATGCAGGCCTGCAAGAAATTCCTTATCCAGCTTTACAAGGCAGTTACCTCACAGCAGCCGCCACCCTTGCCGCTTGAGAGCTACATCCATAACATTCTCTACGAGGTACCCCTTCCACCTCCAGGGAGGTCACTGAAATTTTATGGTGTTTATGAACCCGTCATCTGCCAGAGACCTGGGCCCAGTGAACTCCCCCTCTCCGATTACCCTCTTCGAGAGGCCTTCGAGCTTCTGGGATTGGAGAACCTGGTGCAGGTGTTTACCTGTGTTCTTTTAGAGATGCAGATCCTTCTCTACTCACAAGGTAGGTCTTCCCTGGATTTTAAGTCTCCCTCAAAAAAGTTCTTAGGAATCCCAACGACTACATTTCCATGGGGAATATTACCAGAACCAAATAATTAATGGTCAGAAGTCTTCTGTTTTGTGTAAAAGGAGCACCTGTTTAAGGTGGGACCAGAGGCTAAGATATTACTTCTCTTTGAGGTGTCGGTGGCTGTGGAGAAAAACAGGAAAGCGTACAAAAGCCTTAATCTGGCTGACTTGAATGTATTTATTTTTTAATGGAAATGGCCCTTTTTTCCAGATAGTACCTGATCATCATAAAAAAAACACATTTCAGGGCGCCTGGGTGGCTCATTTGTTAAGCGTCTGCCTTCGGCTCAGGTCATGATCCCAGGGTCCTGGGATCGAGCCCCACATCGGGCTCCTTGCTCTGCGGGGAGCCCGCTTCTCCCTCTCCCACTCCCCCTGCTTGTGCTCTCTCACTGTCTCTCCTCCTTCTCTCTCAACTAAATAAATAAAATATTTTAAAAAAAAGAAACACATTTCTTTTCATAATGGAAGTGAGAGAATGATGTTAGTACCAAGAACATGTAGCTGTCTCATTCTTTGCAGATGAGAAAGGTTCACATCAAAACTCAGTTGACATTGGAAAGGCATAAATGAAACTGTTGACTCTGAAGCTTCCTAAGGCAATCAACTTTGGATCTTTGCCTGTGGGAGATTTCACTAGATGTGACTCTCTTGGGTCTAACAGCTCTACTGGAGTTATGTGGAGTGTTTTTGTTTTATTTTGCTTTTATTCCCAAAAGGAAGTTACCTTTATGATGTTTTTTATTCAGCGTTCTCCCAGCACATACTTAAGAAACTTAACAAAATTTGAGTTTTATTTTAGGAGTGCATTTATGATGGCTAATTTTGAGCTTAAACTTAGGGTACTGGTTCCGATCTGAACATGATTTTGTAGAGGAAATAGAGATGCTCTGTCTTAATGGATAGTGAGTTGAAAGAAAACATAAAATGGTTGCTGCATATTGATTGGTTCTTTGAAAAATGTGGCACAAATATTTGGGTTAGCTTTTTGCTGACTTGTATTTAGGCTAGCAGAATTGTAGTGCAATCTCCTGACTGCTGCCGTCAAGCTTATTTTACCACTTTCCTTTTTTTCTTTTCTATTTTAAATTATAAGTGAGGCTGAGCCAAGTAGGCTATATTTGTACTTCCCCATCTTGTGTGTATGTTGACACTATTTGTGTGTTGACAGCCCTTCACGAGGTTGTATTTTCTTCAGTTTATCTTACATAATGTTCTTTGATAATGTGTTCTGATGCCTCTGTTTTTATTGTCAGGAAGTTCTCTAATGACCAACTGAAATTCTTTCCTTTCCTCTTGCTCTCACTTTCTTAGGTCTTAGCATTACCTGCAGATCACTTGTTTGTATCTAAAACATGTAGCTTTAAGTAATTCTCTCTTCCTTTCTATTTCCTCCTTTCTTGCTTTTCTCCCTGAAGCCAGGGTAGGGGTTAGAGTTGCTGGAAGGGGACAGGGCTTGGAACTAGATACCCTCAGGTGTATTAACCTATGAGAAAAAATAATTTCAGTCCTAGATTTACAAGGGATCTTCAAGGTCGTTTAGTTCAGTTTTGGTTCTGCATAGAGAAGCAGTTTGGACCAGAAAGAATATTGGTTTTTGAAGTCCTAACAATCCTAGGTTCAAATATCTGCTCTGTCCCGTACTAACTGTAAGCATAGACAAGTTATGTAATCTTCCTCAGTGTCAGTTAATTCATCTTTATGGAGATAACAGGGTTTTTTCCCTCTCTCTCACTGATGTATTGTGAAGGTTAACTAAGAAAACCTGTACAGGACACTTGGGGCATAACTGGCACTAAATGATAGCCGATATTATTGTAATTATTATTAGTTTTATTAGTCCTATACAATCCTCTATAAATTATGTATATTTTAAGTTGCATGGGTCCAACATATTACTGCATTTAAAGTATAGCTTTGTTAAATTAAATAGTCAAGGCATTTGTTTTCAGGGTTGAGGGCCTAATAAATGTTCTCTTATACTGAATGTTAGGGCTTTTTTTTTTTCTTAGCCAAAAAACCCTTTCATTATCACACTTTCTCTTTTAAAAAAAGCACTGTATGTCTCACCGCGTGTGGTCTGTCCCGAGCTCTCATCTTTCTGCTGTTTGATTAGCTTATCCCCCCTGGTTCATGGAAGCTGTTGAAAAGTTATAGTTGATTAATATCCGCCAATTTAATTCAGTTTCAAATGAAGAAGCATGAGTATTTATGAGCATGTTTTTGTACTAAATGAGGTGTTTTTTATTGGTTTTGTAGGGGTTTTTTTGAAATTTGGTTTTATACAGGGAACAATAGATGAATCCTGAGATTATAGGTGTCTGTCTCTCTCTCCCTCTCCCCAACCCACACACATTTTAAGTGTCCTACCAAAGAAAGTCTCATATGGTAAATTTATAAGCATTCACTGAAATCACTCTGTGTTAGGAATTGTACTATAAAAATGCCGTGTATGTTGTTTTGGGGATTCTTCTCTCTTCAATAGTGAATTACTGCTCTTATCCATGTTTTATGAAAGGGAAGTTGAGGCTCAGGGAAGCTTAGTAACCTTCCTGAGATCACACAGCTATTAGGTAATGGTGTAGAGCTAAGAATGGGGCTTGGATCTTTCTTTCTCCAGAGCATTTAACCACCATGTTAACTGTATTGAGCACGGCACTTAACCTTTCCTTATCTGTCTCAATATTTATTTTTAAATTATTAACTCACCCTGCCAATCTGTTATAAAGGGATCATGCTAAATAACCGTAGAGTATGAAATGAAAGCTCTGTGTAAATGAAGATTTTAATTTTGACAATGTCTCTCCCATTAGAGAAAGAGATTTCATTTAAATGAATGAAATAAGAGTTATTATGTTGATTTGTACTCTGGTGCCCTCCTTCATTCTTCCCTGTTAAGGGGGTTTTAATAACATCTAATACTCCAATTCTTACTAAGAAAGCCATGCCATAAGATTTAAAACATTGTAAGTGCTAAACAATTACTGTGAAAACCCAAAGTGAATCAAAGTAGATGGATTTTAGTGATGAAAATTGTCCTTCTAGACTGATTTGAAATTCTGGTCCATAGCCCATTTAAACAGATTCAATCTGCTATTTAGAGAGTGTGTATATCACACTCACTTTGTGGTGGTTAACTAGCTAGAAATTTTAAGTAGAGAATGCACCCAGGAGTTAGAGGCTCTTTTCCAGGACCCCAAATCAGAAAAGATCACTTTCTTTTGTACCCTGGAAATACCTGCAACAGGACAGGGGAAGTTTGGATACGATCCTCTTTTCAAATGAACAGTGGTGAAATAAAAGATGGGTGAACTTAACATGAGTGTCTAATTTTTGATACCAGTAATTAGTCTCAGGAACAGTTTTGGGGCGTTGCTTACCTTCTTTGGTTCTCCACAGTGGAGATAAGCAGTTACCCATAGCTCACACTGGACTGACACGCCAGCCTGTAGGCCTTCACAATGCCCCTCTCCCCTCTATTCTTCCCCTCCCTCTTCTAAGTTGTGCATGAATTAACCTTGTCAGAAAGTAGAAGCCACTTAACGGTTTTCTTGAAAAAGTGGGAGGCCTCCTAATCACAAATTGCTAGGTGTGCTCAACTGAACACCATAGCTTATTGGTTATAGGGTTTCATAAAAGCAAACTTGGTATTTTGATGGCAGAAAGTGGGTTCCCATGACCTATATCCTAAAAGCAGTAGAGTTTGACTAACTTTGGCCATTGTCTTTATATTAGCTTTATTTTGTGATAAGTAGAATTTTAATATAAAGACTCTTGATGTTTTGTTTTATAGTCAAGAAATTAATCCTTTGTCAATTACATGTGTAGCCATATCTTCATCTAATTTGTGGCTCTTAATTTTCTTTTAGGGGTCTTTGAATTAAGATGCTCTTCATATTCATGAATTTGAACTTATCAGTCTTTTAACTTATAACTTTCTGTTTCAGAAATTCTCTATTCTGAGACCATAAAAATAGACTGCATTTTTTTCTAAATGTTTTAAGTTATATTTAGCATTTAAGGCCTTACTGTATAAGAAACTGATTTTTTTAAATTGATTTTTGCTTGTTGTAAGGAAGAAATCAAATTTAATATTTTAGAAATATCTATAACTAGTTATTGTAGTTATTGAACAGACCCATTCTTCCTTCCTCTGAGCAGGAGTGCCACTTCTGTCATATAGAAGTTCCTGTATGTGAGAATATATTTCTGGTGTATTTCAGTTTATTCTGCCAGTCTTTGTTCCTATACTAAATAACTATAGCTTTAAAGTAAGTCTTGGCATCTGGTAGGACGGTTCCCTCATTACCTTATTTTTTACCCAAGAAACAGACTAATTTATTCAATATACATTTTTCACATGTGTCTATATGTACACTACAATACAAAATAATGACATCATTTTAGCACTTAGCTGAAAGAGAGCATTCAAAATCATTAATCCTTTGAATCTATAGTATCATCATTAGAACTTTGTAACATAGATAATGCTGTGTTACAGATAAATCTACCTTCTTTGTTTGGAATTGCATTGAATCTGGGCGACTGGGTGGCTCAGTTGGTTAAGCGACTGCCTTCGGCTCAGGTCATGATCCTGGAGTCCCGGGATCAAGTCCCACATCGGGCTCCCTGCTCAGAGGGAGTCTGCTTCTCCCTCTGACCCTCTTCCCTCTCGTGCTCTCTATCTCTCTCATTCTCTCTCTCTCTCAAATAAATAAATAAATCTTTAAAAAAAAATTGAAAAAAAGAAGGAATTGCGTTGAATCTAATTTGAGGACAATGACGTATTTAAAATACTGAGTTTTCCCTTCCATGAAATGTATCTCTATTTCTAAGGGTCTTGTTTAATGTCTCTCAGTAAGGTTTTACAATAGTAGATAATTACAAATAATGACAGTTTTTTCTCTTCTGTTCCAATATTTCTCACTTTAT